CTGATGGGTAGATGGACAGGTATTTATGATTCTATTTGTATGGCCAAATCAATAGTTAAAGAGTTTTTATCTTTAGATTTCTTATAGCATACTCAGGTGCAAATTAGACGCCCAGAAGGCTGATGGACAGTTTTCCAACATTTCTTGTGGACTTCCTTATGGAGTTAACAAGAAATGATAAGGTCACCTCATGAGGGATAAGCAAGACTCTCTGGACCTCAAAGTAATCTGATCAAGTGGACAAACTGGTCTCATCCCAACATTGGTCATCAGTAGAAGAGTTAATAACTTGAGGAAGTGGCACACAGATCACTGCTATAGAGGAACAACCGCAGTGGCAGCTCAGAAAAAATATCTACAAAGTGAACAAACTAGCAGTTCGTGGGATAACAGTTCTGGGATGCAAAAATCCAGACAACCAATGGACAGCAGTAAAAGGTTAGTTTTCTGTATCATTTTGCTGCCATCTTCTGGGCACCCTAGTCAGTATACATTAAGGCTGTCTACTGTGCTTGCCTATAGCTAGCTGCCTTAGAGAAAGTCCTCTGAGCACATCATGCTTACAGTAGACCATGACCAGCTTTGTTTTCTTAGTCAAAGAATGAAGGTCTGACTAAGAATTTATGTGCTTGTAAATTAGCAAGATATCTGCAATCCTGTCCTTGACTGTATTTATATCAGTGATTATTCCCAAGCTGCATCTATGTATATTTTGGACACTCAAGGCAATGCTTGCACCATTAGCAAAAGATTAAGAATCCTATTTTAATTTTAGTCTGAATGGTAGTGGCAGTGAAGAAATGTGCCCTCTCTACCGCCTGTGTCATCTCAATGTTGTCCAACTGAAGAGTTGTTTACCTGGGAAATCAGCCCTTTGGGACTGGGAGACCCCCTAGAGTTACTGCAGAATAAAATAAAAATAAACCACCCAGAGTCACTTGGCATCTTGACAGCATATAAATTTAAATGATAATAATTATAATGATGAAGATGAAGGAGGAGGAGGAGGAGGAGGAGGAGGAATGCCTTGTCATCTCCCTCAGTGGAACCTTTTGATTCCCATATATGGAAACTTAGTTGAGATTCAAGGCATTGGTCCAGCCTGATAGGGTTAAAGCTAAGACCCAGGTAAAGAACTCTCCGCCCTGACTGAGGCTTTGGGCAGTAGTAGAACAGGTAGTGCTGCTGGGGCCTCTACAGCTGTAATTCTGATTCAAAAGTTAGTCCCATTTAAAAAAGGGGGAGGGGGTTACCTGGCAGAGTTGCATTGAAATGATTGGATCATCAGTAAATGGATTAGCTCCATCTAAGCATCTGAATACAGCCAGAGCTTTAGAACAAAGCTACAGGGAGTAGCTGAGCCAAGATACTAAATATTAAATAAAATAGTATTCCAATATTCTTGCCTGGCACAAAGAATAGGATGGTATCCCTTCCCATTCCTTTTAGAAATGCTGACTGAATAGGTAATTGACCATTTCTTTGAACACGGGTCATAGAACATAATTCTTTCCCTGACTTTTCTTTTCCTTTCCCTCCTTAACTGAGCTATTTTTAGTACTGTGGGGTTGCTTAGATGACACATTACAGATTAAAGACTCTCTCCTCCAACATTTTACAAAGTAACTGCAAGGTGACTATTAATGATAGCAATATTATAGCTAATGCTCAAACAATATAGCAGAGAGCAATCATGGGGGTGGGGGGATGATCCAGTTGGAACTACGAGTGAAGACATGGGATTAAATCTACTTTCCCCTTTCTTCATACTGGACTGCCAATAAAGAATAGGGGACAAACCTGACCATTGCAAACAAAAGATAGGTTCATAGGTGCATGCCAAATGTAGCTTTAGCCTTTTGTGTTTACCAAAAACTTTATTCTTGCTTGGAAATGCAAGGAAGTACAGAATCCCCTTTCATTTTAATACTTTAAAGGCTGTGGCTAAAGACAGTAACAGAAAGTTCATAATCTACACAGCATTCTGCTTTTTCATTGCATCCTTACCTGGAAAACCAAAGCCACCTGTTGATGTCTCTACTTTCAATTCATTACTACTAGAAAGTCTGACATCGATCTTCATGGTAATTATTAAAAAAAAAAAGAAATAGGTTAGACCAGCAGGCAACAGCTGCAATAGAAATTTTCTGGAGCATGGGTGTCAAACTCGACGTGTCACGTGATGTGTCGCAACGTGTCACGTGATGTGTCGCAACGTATCGTGACTTTTTTTGCATTGCCGGAGCTGGGGTGGGTGCGGCTTCCATATGATGCAACCAGGCCATGGGCTGGCAGTTTGACACCCCTGTTCTGGAGTGATGGTCACACAGCTGAGAATTAATCACTCTGGAACTGTCTAACAGTGAAACTGTCGGGTCTTTTTTACAAAGTCAAAAAAAATAGCCCACGATGTACATGGAGTCAGGCTGCTGGGGATGCTATATTTCAGAAAGCTCTGTGAGCCTTTCAAAGCTGCTTTAGAAATTTCTTTTTTACACTTCTAGACACAACAGAATATGACTGGATTGACAACCATCCAAACTTCAAAATACTTTCTCTAGGTTTCAGTATTATCCAGCAGTGGAAAACTATAGAACCCAGTTAACTATTGCTAGCATTTCCTATGCAAGTGTCCCATTTGTAATTCACTGAGCAAATAATCTTTGCAACTAAGCAGAATTTGCAAAGATTGGAAAGAATAAAGTGAAATAAAATAAAGACAGATAGGACTTGTGTGTATCATAAGCCAACAGTTATGAAAAATAACAGTCTACCAAAATATGTGAAGGATATCATTTCCTTGATTTCAAAAAGAGTGTTTGTTTTTCACCACATTTACCTTTTTTTTAAATTAATAAAGCTTTTATGTCCCGATAAAAGAGTTAGAATGATGGTGGTTTGAGTTAACTGCTTTTGTTTCTTTTGTTTTAATTTCACTCATATTACTTTCATACCATTTTTGTGCCCCTATAAATTGTTTCTTTACTTGAAGTTATTTTGAGCCTCTTTACCTTGTATCCCTATGCATTCCATTTAGTTTTCCAGTTGTATGGATGAAAGAGAAACTATCAAGAATTGTAATTATTATTTTCTCTCAAACAAGTGGATCTATCAATAAAGGAACATTTTCTGGACGGAGCTTCCAGCACACAATCCAAAAGCATTGTTGAATTATTTTCTTTTTCCTCTGCTCATTTTTATTTTTTTTTGAGGATAGCAGAGTTGTTTAAAAAAAACTACATGAAACTCACAAACACAAGGCAATAATAATAAGACTTCTCTAAAATCCCATTCTGGAGTCAAGGAAATTGCACGATGCCTGCCTGTCTATGAACCTGGTTATAGAGCACCAGAGAAGTGAGTTTCAACCATAGCTTTCAAAACTGCTTATTTGGCTCCAAGCTGGCTTTGCAATCGACACAGATCTAATTTTTTAAAATTTGCAAACAGAAATTAGAATCTACTGGCTTAGTAGAGAAAACTGAAGCAAACAGTTTTAAAATGCACACAGTCATATATTTTACCAAGTAATTGAATTTAGCTGACCTCTGATTCAGCTTGATCTTCAGTTGTTAAACAGAAGATGTAGATACATAATGTAGCTATTAACTGAATTTATACTGAGACTTACATAATGATTCACTGGGGTGGTGAAAATGGATATGAACACTTGTTCTTTGCAAGACTCCTGAAGCCTTCAACAGCCGTCAGTGCTACCCAAAATAAGTGTTTTCCAGGGAAATACTGCACCAGCTCTCCATGCCAATAAAGCAATATTAGTTTCAGTTTGTTTTCTTCTTTTTTGTTCAAGCATCAGGGCTCCAAAATAACAAGATTTCCTGGGCAAGCAGTTAACTGTTTTGAACTCCCCCTAATCCTAAAGTCTATATACACAGACAATTTTCCCCTGAAGCTTTGCTTGTTTGAAGAAGGATCATAAACAAGATCAGGATTTATTTTTTTTCATGCAAGTTGCATTGGTAAAGGAGATGCTATCCTCACCCTCATCTCTGACGTGGCTTGCAATTTTATTCTAATTCCCAAAGCCTATAGGTCACATTGGATTTCAAGGAATACAAAATTACCTTTCTGTGCAATGTTAACTCTTTCAGAGCTACCAAGTATATTATGTGTTTTCTATGATGGCTCAGTCTCTCACAAACGTATGTACTTGCACTATTCTATCAAGAATCGTGATGACATCACACATTATCAAAATCATTATCTCCACAAAGGCTAGGTCTGTGTAAAGGAATGCCCACTCCTTTGCAGCACTACTTTAAATAGCATTATTATCGATCATCTCACTTTCATATTAAACAAAAAAGAAATACAAGAGCTGGGGTAACAGCTGTTTTTCTGACTGTATGCTTAATGACTTTACACAGAAACATACATTACATACTACATTCTGTTCTTAATAAACTGGCTTTAGTTGTAGAATATCTCTCAGGGCAAGCACACCTGCTTCTGATGTGATTGTTGACTAGAAAGGGAAGGGAAATGGTCAGATTTTATTAAAACATGCTCCCCACCCCATGAAAAGCAACCCAGATAGTTGTCCAAGCTAATTATCATATACTCAAGAACAGGAATCCTGGCTGTCAAAGAATGGAAATGCATTATTTGGATCCTTTTTCTTCTCAATCCAACCCCCCCCCCAAAAAAAAAAAACCCATGTTCTTCGTCTGAATTCAAAGTGAGAGTGTCTCCTTAGCTCGCTTTTCACATCATAGGCAGGCTGGGAGGGAAGAAAATCACACCATCCCAACTGGAGCAGCAGTAGGAAGGGGCTTCTTATGCACTTCAGTAAGAGAGATGGTGGGGAATATGCAAAGCTCACACCACCGGGAGGGACAGACAGGAGACTTCGCGAGCGCTCTCCCCAAAGAACTTCCAAGGCTGGTTATAGAGCAGAAAAAGGAGGCGCCCTACTCACCAGGTGGGCCAAAGCACACCCAGAAAACCAACGCTCCCCCCTTTTTGCTTTCTTCACCCACCTGTAAGACACCTGTTTCCTGAAGGTTAAACTCTTCAGCTTCTCTTCCAGAGAGTCCTCCTTCTGACCGGTTAGTCCAGGCAACTCTGGGTCGGCCCCCGCGGCGGGAGCACTGCGAGGGTCCCCACCGCCTTCCGCCCCACGGCACGTGCTGCCGCCGGGACCGCTGCCTCCTGCAGCCCCCTTCTCCTCCCCGGCTGCTGAAGCAGGGTTCATAGCGGTGCTGAAAGGACAGCAGCCCGGCGGAGAGAGAAAGCGCCGGGAACTAGCCCAGCAGATCGGCTGGAGCCGGGGACAGAGGCCGGGCGGCGGGCGACTGCTGCCGTCGCAGCCAGAATGGAGCCCCTTCGTCGAGCCACCGGTCCAAGCGGCTGCAAATGGCAGCACCTTCCCGCAGCATCCATCGGCGGCTGCACTGGCTGCAGCGGGGCATTGTGGGAAACTCCCTACCTCCCACCCACCCTCCCCCCCTCTGGCCAATCAGCGCCTCCTCCCCTCTCGCTGCTCCTCCTGCCACGCCCTCCTTAAGAGAAGAGCAGTAGCAGCTACACCTTTAGATCTGGCTAGAAGCCCCTCGGTGGAAAGTGGAAAGTGAGACGGGAGCAGGAGAGGCCTCCTCTCCTCTCCTCTCCCTCTGCAGAAAGATGGAAGTTGTGTATGAGAGTCCCATGTCTGTAGAGGGGACAAGTATAAGCTGCTTCAGCATATTAGCAGGGTCTAAAAAAAAAAGCAACTGTTGTTTTTTTTAATTGTAACTATCATTGTGGGATCACAGGAAGGTGATCTGGAACTATCCAAGCTAAAGAAAAATTAAGAAAAGGTGAGGAGGAAAAAAAAGTTCTGCTGAAGATTTTCCATCATTAGCTCATGATGAAGTTGGTGCATGAGTTGGGCATCCTGTAAAATAAATAAATAAAGCACATAAACAATTTTACTTTGTAAGGAAGACATTGGAGGAGTGAGGAGAAGATAATATCTGCTTGCCCCACTCTTCAACTAGCACCAAATCAAAATTTCTCCCTTCAAGATATTCCCTTGTCTGGTGGGATAGTGGAATGGTGAAGGAACAGTCTAGCTAGCAGGATACAAGGAGCTGAGATGAAATCTACAAGCTCACCAGATGCACTTCTAACTTTTCTGAAGATATAATCTTCCCCTAGACAAATGCTTTCATTACAATAAAAACATGGATTCTGGCTAACAAATATAGATATTGGAGGTGTCGCTATCAATATTTCCTTCTCTTTGGGTCTCTGTTCTCTTAATGGCTGTGCAGAACTTTGGATTTAGTTTCCAGTAGGTGCTTCAGAGCACATGGTTATAATGAAACATAGCACCTACCTGTTAGTTGCCTGATTATTTTCCAGAATGAGTGGCTGCCCTCTGAAGTATCTGAATAATCCCAGGAAAAGACTCAGCTACTTTAAAGAGTTGTAGACAGGCCGTATACCACAAAGATCATTTTAGACAGTAAATCTGAAACACTGCAGAGATCTACAGGGGAAAGCAAAAAAAAAAATCCTGCCTTCCATTCATAATGCAACAGGGCTATGGAACAGGATAGGTTTATTTACTGTATTTGTTAAACTGAGGGAACTCAGAATATTTAGGCCTGAGAAAAAATGCTGAAGAGGTTTTGCAGGATCCAATCTGGGTCAGTCACTGGGACCAGAGGTTTAGTCTTCTGAGCTTTCAGACTCATCCTGGAGCCCACCCTCAGGGAACTTCTCTTGACTGGAATGTGTGTGACACATATTACAGTAGAGAGACTTTCCTTGAGGATGGACTCCAGCATTAGTCTGAAAACTCAGAAGTGACTGGTCCCAGTGACTGACATAGATTGGATCCTGCAACATTATCCTGGGACACGTATATTTGCTTTCACTCATGAAGAAGTTGTGACAGCATTCTGGGCCCTTGAACAGGTGTCAGGCAGAAGGTCAAGATTTTCTATCATTTTAGAAAGCAAAACACAGATTAATGGGATTACATTACAAGAAGACAGATTCAGATTGACTGTTACTGTAAAAAAAAAAAATCAAAACAGCAAATCAATTTTAGAAACAATTACCCAGAGAGGTGCTGGGGTCCTCCTTTTCATTGAATATAGTCAAGGCTGTAGTCAAGCTATCTGTCATGGAAGCTTTAATTTGGATTATTGCTCTGAGCAGGGATTTGATTCAGTGGCCTATTATTATTATTCTATTATTTTATTCAGATAGAGAAGTAATTTTACAAGCAAGACAAGTATACTAGATTCCATTACTTTTCATATGCCTATTCATTGCAAACACATGCAACGTGGGGTTTGGTCCATGAATATTTAATGGGCACCAAAGAGCAGAATCGTAAAATCTATGCCTGTGCTGCATACCCATTATAACCCAATCCAATATATAATAATATACCTTTTTTACGTAAGTGATTTTTATCATCTTTCATTTATAAGATCTACTAGTTTGATGACCACAACTATAACTGCTATCCCATCATTCTGTCTATAAGATAGAAAGATCAAACTTCATGTACAACTGTGATGAACAAAACATCAGTACTACAACATTGGATCAGCCATATTGAATCAAACAGATCAAACCAAATTGAATTTGCCGAAAGACTTTATAAAACATGAGATGCTTTCTAGGGAAGAAGTTCCAAATGATGCATCTGGAGATTATTATGCCGTAAGTTACTCAATTGCCAACAGTTCCCCCTAAAAGAAGTTGAAAGACGTTCTTGCTCTTTTCAACTTTAAATGCACTTTAATGTCACTTTTGTTTTTACTTCACCATCACTTATTGTTTAAATTGTTGCCATTAACTGCTCCCATAACATTTGTAATGTTATGTTGTCCTAGAAAATCAGTATACTTCAGGGACAAGATATAAATACTTTAAATAAGGAGAAAGAAAAAGGGAGTGGATGAGTGGGTGGATGGGATTGAAAAAAGTAATAGTAAGGTTCTAGCAAAGTTAAAGGCTTTGATATTTCTCAGTAAATCAATCTGATAGAAAATACAAACTAGCTTTGCCATGAATCTTTTTTATAAAACTAAGTATTAATCTAGCATGCAAGTTGAGTCATGTTCACTCATCTCTTTTTAGCCCTACTTATGTGAAAGTACATTTACAGGTCTCTGTGGTCATAATTCAGCATTTATTTGTGCAAATCCAAACTTTCTGTGTTCCTACAAAATCAAATGTCTACCCTGAAGAAATTTTATTTGATGCACAGATTTCAGAAATACAGAGGCTGACTTAGCCCTCCCCAACCTGATGCTCTCCAGATGTTTTGCAACCAGGTAGCAGCGAATTCTAGGAATTATCCCTGCAAATTAGGACAGCATATAATTAGTCATCGAGATGTTTAGACTGGATTTGGGATTTTTGTCCACCTCTCGAGTCCTTCCCATGGACACGGGATAGGGAGATGTTGTTGTTTAATAATAAAAAATTAAAAGTTAATTGCAAGTAAAATATATAGAGACCCAGGCAGAGAGAGAATGAATATATACATCTTAACAGTGAAGCCCTCTAAAAATGTCTCTAGCCCCCAATTTATTTCCAAACCAATGAAATGACAAAAGAAATCGGTCACTCAGGATTCTGCCTTGTCTCTCCAAAACCCAAAAAGAACGGGGCCAAATGTGGGGTGGCAGACAAAGCAGAAAAAGAGAGGCAAGATTTGAAGCAAAACTAGGTTAGATCAAGGCCTATAGATAAAAACATTATAGAGGAAGAATTGGTCCAATGCAGATTTAGAGGAGAGGCAGGAGGGCAGTGGCTCAGAAAGTTGCTAACTACTCCATTCTGAGCCCCAGTCATGAGACCCAGAGCAGAACCCATGAAGCTAACCCTATGTTTCTAATGAACACATCCACTCACGTAGAGATGTAACACAGTACTTTGTTATGCAGAACACACAAACATCTCCTACAACCCCTGCAAATACAATGGCTGGAAAGCCTTGCAGAATTCACACTTGGAAAATTTTCTCTACTAATTTCTATCAAATATTTAAGGGCCCATTTAAAGCACACTAGTATTCCAGGAAATAAAGATGATGCTTTTATTTTACTTTACAGCATTACTGGCTTCCTGTTTTTAAATTGAAATCCTTGTAGAAATGGAATCTGTGAACTTATTAACATCTATAATCAACACATTTGGGAACCCCAGATGTAAATAATTGGGAACAATCATCTACATAGAGTTCAATTATGGCTATCTGAAAATATAAAAGCTGTATATCTGGACAATGGGATCCAGATAGAGATGGTTTTAGGAGAAAAAAAAGAGTATTAATGTATAAACACAACTCATAATTGACTTGTAATTAGCTTATGGAACTTGGCCAGAAGATGTGATGGTCACTACTTAAAATGGCTTTGAATCAATTTGTAGACTAGAGATGAATCAATTGCTACTAAGTAGAATACAGCTTGAATACTAGATTCAGAAAATAAAGTTGTGGACTTCTGCTTACTTGTAGATATTCCAGATATATCTGTATGATTAAGGAGCGAAATAAAATACTGGGGTTTGGTGTAATTTAGGTTTTGGGTTTGCACATTGGTAGATGTAAACTGCATCTTTCCTTACCACAGCTGAGTAAAAAGCAAAGTTTTAAAATGCAATGACTGAACAGGCTTCTCTTTTTCTTTAGGAAAATATTTATTTGCAAGAAAATAGATAAAGCATTACATAGTTGCACTTAGGTACATACAAAAAGCATTTAGTTTGCAGTTTCATTTTAGACTTGTGTGCTTAATAAAAGTATTTTTTAAACAATTTTTTTTGCCGCTCCGAAGTAAGAGAGAACATATTTCGAAGTGCACATATATATATTATAATAAAAATGGTATGTTTAAGGTATTGGCATTTTTTTAATTTTTACCTTATGTTTTTTATTAAATAACTACTGTATTTTACTTGGTCAGCTCCATGGATAAAACACATTTGCATATTCACATAGCAGAAATAGATTTTTTTTGGGACAGAAATATGTCAATATGTATGGCCCCGTTTAACAGGTTTGGGCTTACATGATACAAATTACAGACATTATTATTAAGCAAGTACTTATAGTACATTTTTTGCTTGACAATAATCCTCAAGCTGACTTATAATAACAAATGAAAACTTAACTTATAATAAGATTCTCTAAAAGGCAGTAATAATTTATGAAAGTTCCAGGGAACTTTGATGTATATATTCCCTGACCCGGATGCAGAAAGACATCACGTGAGTCTAATTCTGCTGATTTTAGTAGGATTATATGTTGCAATATATAAAATCATGATCTATATTTCAAGGATAAGAAAAGATTTAGCCTGAATGTCAGTATTTTTATGAATGAAATAAATCCAGTCACGTTTCTCTTTTAAAGACACTGAATGTAATCATGTCATGGGCAACTGTGTCCCATTAACAATACATTTTCAGATTTTCAACCTAAAGTACAATATACACAAGAGAAACACATTTTAAGCGATGTATAAGAGCCACATTTCACAAAATAGACAGGACCAAGTATCAGGATGATTTAAATTTTATAAAATATTTAGCCTTGAAAAAAGCAAATCAAGGTGGATATGTTTACCTAACTAACTTTGAACTCAACACCTGAGAAAAGGTGCTAAAATGGGCTACAAGTTCCATTAATTTTTGCACATAAAATTAAGGAGAATTAAATTGCACTTTCATTTCAACCAGCCTGTAAACTTTATATATGCCCCATCCATTGTAAAGTTGGTATTCGATGTATTTATTCATTTAATTTTATCCTACTTTATTTGGCACAACTCAAGGTGGCAGACACATCTCTATTTTCCCTGGTGGGTTGGGTAGAGAGAGAGCAAATGGCCCAAAGTCATCCAGCCAGCTTTCATGCCTAAAGGTGAACTCACAATCTCCCAGGTTTTAATCCAGCATCTCAAACACTTTACCAAACTGATTCTAGCTTGTATTTTATTATGCATTTGTATTATTTTCTTGTATTTATTGTATTGCCATGGAATTAATGTGGCATGTTTTGCATTTGTTAACAGTGGCAGGATAATTGTCTTATTATCATTTCCTGCTATCGTGAATGCTCAAACAGTGCCTATTCTACAAACATGTAAGCATCAATTACCGCACAGTCATTGACTTCCATATATTATCTACTTCATCTATCTTCCATATGTCATTTGTCCCTATACATCCTCAACATTTTGTTCACATTTAAATTGTAACAAGATTGGTGTTGTTTGGATGACTATGAAGAAAAAAGGGTTCAGAAAATTATCTTCATAAAGAATTAAATTACATTTAGCTAATGTGCATTTATTTATAAATACTGTCCTTAGACAGCTCCTCCCCATTCTTTTTTGAAGGAAAAATTTCAGACTATGTTCTTTGGAAGAAAAAAAAATGCCACCTTCTTCACCATCTTTGACTTAATGATCATAATTGAGTCCAAAATTTCTGTGGTTAAGTGAGACATTTGTTAAGTGAATTTTGCCCCATTTTATGACCTTTCTTGCCACAATTCTTAAGTGAATCACTGCAGTTGTTAAGTTAGTAACATGGTTGTCAAATGAATCTGGCTTCCCCGTTGACTTTGCTTGTCAGAAGGTCGCAAAACATGATCACATGACCCCAGGACTCTGCAACCGTCATCAATATGAGCCAGTTGCCAAGGGTCCACATTTTGATCACATGACCATGGGGATTCTGCAACAGTTGTGTGAAAAATGGTCATAAGACACTTTTTCCAATGCTGTTGTAACTCTGAACCGTCACTAAATGAACTGTTGTAAGTCGAGGACTACCTGTACAGAAAAGAGGATGGAATTGGGGAAGAGATTTGAATAATATATACCAGAAGAGGAAATGTTGGCCTGCAAAGTATAATTCTACCTTTCAAATGAGTTGCAACCACTCAAAACTCCAAACAGTGTTCTAAAGTGTGCAGATATCTCAACTTGTTATTGTGATTTTAAAATATGCAAAACTAAACAAAAAGAAAAGGCTAGATTAGTCCACTGGGTATTGATGTCATAAGGAAGCCTATGTTGCAAAAACTGTGCTTATATATAAGGGAAGGCTCCCTAGTAACATGTTACAAGTTTTCAACATAAACTAGCATCTCTTATCCCTCAGTTGTTTTTTTTTAATTGCCTCTTCTTAGGCTTTTTAAATGTGTATAAAGCTGGTTGATAAATTCTGTGTTCCTTCCAAGGCCTCATGTTTTTTATGGAAGAAAAAAAGTGTTCTACTACATGAGAAGCAACAAGTCTGGGCTCCAAAGTGTGGTATTTAGATCTACAAGTCTTGGGTCAAAGGCTTGAGAGTGAGGGAAACAGACTAATAAACCAACATGGCCAGCTGGAGTACATAGGGTTTGAGTACACCTTCAAAATAACAATATAAAAAAGCAGTTTCTTTTCAATTAGCAATTACAGAAGAATTATTTTTGTCAGGAAGTGAGAGAGAAGATGCTAAAGATATACTTTTATACTGGGAGGGGGTGGACTACACAATGGCCTTCTGGCATTAGAGAACTTAATTTCATAGAAGCCAGCCACTGCTAAAAATTCATATTAGTCATTCATTTTCTTGACAGCCAAACTATGAATAGATAGCACCCACTCCTCAAAATTGATGGTTTGGGAGAAAAAGTCCTATTATCAGATATTTCTTGAAAGACATTTCAAATTTGACATTCAACCCAGATTTATAAATCATGAACTGAATGTTTCTAGGGTTACAAGAAAAAGAGAAGCAAATTATCAGATTATTATAGAATGGAAAACTATCAATTTGCACCAGTCAACATCTGATTCAGAAACATTAACTAGTTAAAATACTTTACATAATAAAAAACAGTGAATACAATCAAAGCATATACATAGCAAAAGAAATACATGTCTATCTACTACTCAATTATTGAGCTTCACAATCCCAGAATTGGTTTCCATAAATAGAGAGTTTAAAATAACATTCTCTTATTTTAGAGTCCACCCACTAGCTACGTTATCTAAAATCTATTAGCTACATCTGGAATCAATGATCACATAATGAATACAGTGCAGTAAAATAAACATTGTTGACCAAGTATGATATTTGAAAAATCCCCCATTAAAAATGATTTAGAGATATTATTTTTTGAACTCTAAGCATATAAATAATAGTTTGATGAAGGGTCCCATGCAACTGTATTTTATAGAGGTGCTATTTTAACATATTCATACTAATAATTCCTTCCCAAAAGTTCTGATCATTTAAATTGAGTTTGCTGAGACTGGAATTTTTGCTGGTTTCATAACCAAAAGCCTATTTAAAAACAAGTACAACAAAGAGAACAAAACAACAACACATTAGGAAGTAGGAAAAAATCTTATTTAGATTAAATTTTTAAAGGTTTAATGCCTGGTGCCTAAAAGAAGTTTTGGAAGTTTTTCAAAGTCCACTGAGATCATTTGAAAGAACTTATAACATTGACTTGCCATTCCAGCTTCAATCATAGAAAAAAACCCTAATAAATACTATTTACAACAGAAAGATACAGGAGAGTATAAGATATAAGGGAATACAAGCAACCAGATTCTCATATCCATAAGAGAATCTCCACAACTAGGCTTATTTGGGGAATTGTAGCAAGAAGTCATCAGACTGGGAAAAATTAAGCTAATATACTAAAAGATGACTCCAAGCCTTTTCAGTTTTTACAGAGATATCACCATGGGAGGAAAGTAATAATGAAACTTCTGAGTCTAGCAAGACCAAAATGTTTTGCCAGAAGTAACCATTCTTGTCCACTGAGGTACAACAAAGAACACGTCTACAGTCCAATTCTGCTAGAGAAGGTGGGGAAAAAGTTCCTTGGTTATGCTTCTACTTCACCATGATTATGGAAGCTCCAGAGGAGATTTTCTCTGAGGGCAACACCCTATCACCGGTGGCATCAAAATAGCATCAACATAGTTCTTCCCACTATGAATATTATGGTAGACATCAGGTATGACAATTACTATTTTTTTAAAAAAACAGCAGGGCAAGAAAATAATTCAAAAGGTCTGCCTTTATCATATTTCCACATCAACGCCCCTCATCATGGATGTAGAAGTGAAATGGCAAGCTAAAAATTAGGATTTTTGGAGAATAGTCTATCAAAGCCACCTTTTCACATTAAAAAAATCAGACAAGTCCTCCATTCTCGCCATTGAGATTTACTGACAGTGACAAGTGTTTCCAATCTTTTGTTTGGAACAGAAATAAAGATGCAAGGGAGGAAATGTTCCTTTCTCCTAAAATGTAGCGTTGACTCTTCTGTCAATTTCAACGATTTTTAGTGTTTCATTTGCATCCAGCTCTGAACTGATTCTATAAGCAGAGATGAGGAAGAATTCAGGTTATTGTACAATACTAGTATAAATAAAACCAAGCAAAACAAAAATGACTACTTAGGTTTTTTTAAATTGTTATTGTGAACATTTTAGCTTCACTTCAAAGTAGCAAGATATCAAGTGACATGAAGCTCAACCTTCCCATCCCCAAATCTTTAACTTTAAAATGGCAAAGTTTGAATTTGAGACCTGTCACCTCCAGCATGTGTTCTCTATCCAGAATTGTAACAATTTATTTTAAAAAAATTATTAAATTTGTGTGCTTCCTATCTCACTATCCAAAGCAACACTGGATAGTTTAATTTACTCAATTCAACTGCAATCCTATCGTCTTTTTCCTGGAAGCAAGTCCCACTGAATTCCATGGAAATTGCTTCTGAATAAACATGCACTAGATCATGTGTTCATTTAATTGCTCAAAATCTCAAATTTTCAATTAAGTAAAAAGGTGTTTCCAATGAATCAGGCAGCATTTTTAAAATCTAAGTTCTTATAAAACTTGCAGATGGCAAGTGTCATTTTTAAAACTGCCATCTGTTGGCAAAAAACGCTTTCTTTTCTAAAGTAATGCCTACTGTGGTTTAAAATTTTATTGTGCACAGAAACCATACTTTTTGCCCTTTCACACAACTTTCTTCTGCAAATGTATATACATGCAATTGAATAACACTCGTACATTCAATAAATTAGTTGAGTGTATGTGCTTGTACGTATAGGTATAGGTATGTATGTATGTATGTCAGTCCTTATTCTAGCACTGAGCTACAGCCACTCTGGAAAGAGAAAAGTCTCCTGCAGCAGTGGCTATCTAGAGGTTCTTTTCCAAGTGCATAGGCTTTTTGTAGTATTCTTGGCAAGGAATATTCTCCAGGTACTGTTCATTCATCATGCTGACTGGCTCTATTATCTTTCCAATTACTCTGGCCATGTTTTTTTTTTCTTGGAAGAAATGAGCAATCTAGAGTAGAACATAATGACCTTTTGAAATTTCCCAACACATCTGTAAACAGAGAAATTACATGGACACATTGTATTTATATTTGTAAATCTGTTTAAGAATAAATACCCTTACTGATTTCTAAATAAAGCCCAAAGTTTTTGCTGATGAAAAAGTCCAACAGGAAGAGTAAATGGGGAAATAATTATACAACCAAATATATAACATTCATGCCAAGCCCTTAGTCATCTTGTATCTGAATAAGCCCTATATCATAGTGCCACAGGTCGCACGCAGAGCCCTGTCTGTGGGCACGCGCGCCATCGCCCCAGTCCTGGGCCCTCAGCTTGGTTTTATAAAACCTTTTCGCTTTAGGCTTCTGCCGCCATGTGCAAAAAAAAAAAAAGGTTCAATCAATCAATTTCAACTTCTCGCGGGGAAAAAAAGTTGGAATTGATTGATTGAACTTTTTAGTCCCACCCAGTCTGCCGTTACCACCGCAGCCACGCCCACTCAATGGGCCACGCTCACCCGGCACCCAATGATACATAAGTGGGTTTGGGGTTGCAGTTTGGGCACTCGGTCTCTAAAAGGTTCACCATCACTGTCATAGTGCATCCCTGAAATTTTCACTGAAATTTTTTTCTCCTTTAAAATTATTTATCACCAAGCTGAACGGGACCTAGTAAAGAAAAGGCAGATTGATTTCTCTGCTACTCACTAAAGCAGATATTTTTTCTTTCCCAGTATCTTTCTTCAAAACCAAACACTTACAATGGGCATTCTAATTTTGCCAAATACTCACCTGTGCTGTTGCAGCCCCACCAGCACTGACTTTTCTAGCCTTGTTTCATTGGCTATTGTGATCTCTGTAACATGACTGGGTTGTGACTTGGACATGGGTTCCAAAGACAGGGCTTTGGAAGCATCCAGATGCCTGTCCCAGCCATTGCTGTGGTCTGACAAGGGCTGTTCCTCCAGTGGATAAGGCCCCTCATAAGTCAGCAGACTCCTTGATCTCACTGCAGAGAAAAACAAGGAAGAAATGGAGTAAACTAACAGCAAATTTAACACTTATGAAGACAAGAAATTTCATTGGGATTGATGGCATTCAACAGCTTTAGCAGAGGAGAACATTTTGGCTACAGATGGTGGATTTCAATATAAAAAGCTGCCTTAGATAAATGACCCATCTAAGTCCAAATATTAGATCCAAATATTATGTGGGACTTGATAGCAGAATTATTTCGTAGCCTTGCTCTCAGAGATAAAAAAAAAATGACCAGGTGTTGACTTCTGAATCTTCTGAAATATAAGGTTGACTCCCGCTGTTACATTTACATGTATTATTTAATTTATACAAAGTTGCCTTTTCCTATTTTTTTTCCCAAAACTGGATGGCTTTCAAATATGTTCAATATCAACTCTTAGATTTTGCTCCCTGTTATGCAGCTGAACATATTTGAAGGGCTTCAAGTTAAGAAATAATTGTCTATACTTAAGCAGAGGAAGACTCTTCCCCTTTTTCCAAATGGTAAACATTTTAAATTAAACAAAATAGGTTATATGCATGTAAGGTATCTCAAAATTGAGAATTAGAATTCTTTCCAAAACTAGAATTCTTTCCAAAACTAGAATTCTTTCCAACTGGGCCATCTCATTGACCTGTTTCCAGTCTTTAAACCTCCCATCCCAAATACATTGGTTGTTTCTGATAAAGCAACCTAATTCTGATACTTGCAACGTATGTAAGGAAAGCTCAAAACTATCAGAAGTGAATGCGTAAAAGGATGGAGTGACTACAGCCAAGAACATATACCTGATAAATTAGAGTAAAGATCAACCTCTTGAACAGGTGATGGACAACCTATAGCTTTCAAATCATACAAGACCCAAACCCCTCCTTTTAATCTCCAAGAGTTGCAGTGCTTTACTTACACATACATACACACAAACATACACACACACACACACACACACACAAACTTTCCAGAGATCCCAGTGATGTATCTAAATAATTACTCCCATCCATTATCTTGGCTAATAAAAAAAGGTATGGCCACTAGTAGCTTCTTATCCCTGTTTCAAAGGTTCTACATTAGATATTTTCAGATTACACAGTTCACCATAAATCCTTCTATTGTACCAACAGACCAATAAAATAGAGTTTGCTTGCATACCTGCATCTTGATTTACCAATCAACATAAGTGACTGGTAGATATCTAGGCAGATACAACCATGTGCAGCTGTCCTACAATAAAGAAGCCTTTTTCAGACTAGGTCCCAGATGCTGTTATAGCTCTTGTAGTGCTACTATAGAAGACACAGCAAGGGAGTAATAGTGGTCCACTTCTTCTCTGTATACATGTGGAAAAAATTTCCTACACCAATGCTTAGATATGTAACATGTGATAGCCTCACATGTGATATCTTATTATCATGGAATTACTTTCACTTTTGAGTCTCTTATCTGTATTATAGTTTGTACCAATGACAATAAAAAGAACAGGTACTCCCTAGTCCAATAACTGCAGAAGGGAAGATATGTTATACATGCTAAGAACAAAGTCTTAATTAGGATAACTTTGGTAGTTAGTCAACTACTAACCCTATGCCATCCGTCTGGTAAACTCGCAAGATTTGTTTTTGTCACCATGCACATGTATACATAACCCGAACTAGACTGTTGTTTTTCCATGTCATATAATATATGTGGGTATATGTATAATTCTGTATTTATTTATTTTTGTCATATTTATGTAGTGATTAAACAGGAGGTGGTGACCCTTTGAGAGCTGTATGCTGATTAGTGTACATTCAAAGTGACAATAAAATTATTCTGTTCTGTTCTATTCTATTCTATTCTAAACTGTCTGGGTTGTGATCAAGAGACTCACACTATGTGCCATCAAACCATCTCCAGGTGTCATGTTATTTACTTCTCCCATATTCTGAAAAAGTATAAAAACCAGCAAGAGACCACAGACATTATGAACCTCAACACAGACTGAAGACTTAGGAAAGCGCTATGAATCAGCCAGGTGGTGCCAGTGAATCTCTCCTTTGTAACTTCAGGGTTTCCTGAGTAGCTGAAAGGACTGGCATATTTTCTTTTTCCTTCTGTAAACTCTCTGAATCTATATTCAATAAAATATGGAGTAAGCTATTGTCTCTGATTCTAGAACCTGTTATTTATTGGTTGGTCACTGGTGCCAACACAAGCTCCCAGCATTCCTGACTATTGGTTATACTAACAGAGGGGACTAGAGTAATAGTTTAAAAATTTCTGAGTACCTACGCTGAGAAAAGATGCTTTACAAACTGAGAACATTAAAAACTCCTGATTTTGCACTCACCTATTGATGCTGTATATGACTCTGGTGTAGAATGCTGGGTTGGCAGCACAGCTTTTGTAATGGAGGAATGAGGCCCAAAGCTCTGTGAAAAGCTGCCCAAAATAATTGCAAAGCATAATACTACAACCTGGTAGGGGGGGGGAAAGCACACATTTTATTATACGTAATAAAATTAAAGTCTTGTAATTAAAAGTTAAATATAAAACCAATGCAATGCAATGCAATGCAATACAAAATATAAGTTAAGTACAAAGCCAAGAAAAACTATGCTCCAAAAGTTCTTTCTTCTCTTCTCCTGCTCAGTTGAAATAATTATCTGAAACCTAGGTGCAATACTGATTTAGCTTGATAGTTAGACCTCAACTTATCACTCTTTGTTTAATATTGGTTCAAAGTTACAACAGCGTCAGAAAAAAGTGACTTATGACCTGTCCTTGAAATTATGATCATCACACCAACCCCCCTCAATCACGTGATCACAATCCAGGTGCTTAGCAAATTGATTGCATTTACAATGGTTGTAGCATGATCACAATTTCTGACCTTCTCAGCCAGCTTTCCACACACAAAATTAATTGGGGAAGCCAGGTTTGCTTAACGACCATGTGATTCAATTAATGACCATATGATTTACTTAACAATCATAGTAAAAATGTTTGTGAAATCAAGTGGGTCACATAATGACTTGCTTAATGGTTGCATTGCTTTGAGACTGAAATTCTAGTCCTAATTGTACTATCTGTACTTGAAACACATCTTTTTTTAGCATAGCGATTCTAGAAGCTTTGGAACCATTCTACTCAGTTGAGATATTATTAAAAACAAGTATCATATATTTTATTGGCTTTATATTACCACCCCTCCCATTTCACCTGCTGCTTGTGTGTTCCAATATGTTTAGAAAGGAACTTAACTGGATCTACTGGAAGCATAAACGCTCCATAAAGAAAAATAATAATCTGATAAGAAAGGATCTTGAATGGGTAGATAAACCATAACTATATTCTCAGTTTTTAATCCAACAAAAACCAACCTGAACCCCGTTCAGTTTTCATCTAATTAGTAAAACTAGCCTGTAAGCAGATAATACAGATTTACTGGGATAATAGAACTTCCAACTAATGGAACTGCTTCCTCCCAAAAATATCAGATCATCAGGAAGATACGTTTGCAGGCTAACATTCTTTTTAATTAATTTTTCTTATGAGGGGTAACAATGTCATTCAAATTAGAATATTAATTTTAAGAAATTTCTTTAAGAAGGAATTTTACTTCTGAGAAAGGGAAATGCACATAGGAAATAATTATTTTGGTGCAAATAAGGGACTAGACAGGGAAAGAAAAATGAAAGTAATAGACAATCACTTTCTGTCAAGATTGCATTTCAGAGCCTCTGAATATATGATACCTATGCTGCTAGCTACCATAATGACTGTATTATTTCAATCTATCTCATGGTCTCCTAACTTCCACTTCACCATTAGCATCTCTGCCTAACATTATCTCTATGCACCAAACTGAATGCTACATGAAACAACCACTTCAACCTAATGCTATAATGAAACCTACTGCAGACTTGGCCATCACCATCAGAGCAAACTCAGTATGTCACCTTTATACAGTTATAAACAAAAAAAAAGGAAGACAGTCTAATTAAAATCTAATCCTTATAGGGGCAATAAGAATTTAAACAATTGTCCCCATCAAGATCTCAATGTAGATCTTTTCTTCCCATACCTGGTATTTACTTGGTAAAAGAAATATTTGGTTGGTCTGTAATCAAAGCCAGTCTGGTATATTGTTTCAAACACAGGTTTGAACCCTCAGCCACAGAAGCTCACAGAGTAACTTGGGACTAGTCACTATTACTCAGCCCAAGGTTGTTGATGGAAGGAAAAAAATGAAAGAGAAAGTGTTCTGTACTCTGCTGGAAGCAGAAGGATTAATATAAAAGGAATAAATAAAGCAGTGCGACATGAAAAGCAAAATGTGGCTACCTAGAAACTTATTCCTCACACCTTGACAGCATAAGCTGCATAGAAACACCAAAGAATGATAAGTGAAAGTCCTAAGGGACCATCAGGGATGAGAAGCTGCTTACCATTAGACATGTCCCTGTTTGTGTACTAGCAGCTTTACAGGAGCGTGACACTTTGCCAGCTACCATGGTTTGAAGCCTCTGTAATTGCTGCAGGAGTGTTCTGAAAGATACAGGAGCAGGAATTACTATATAGGTCAGTTAAGAACATAAAAGCCCTGATGGATCAGATTACAGGCTCATTTAGTCCAATCTTCTTTTCCCACAGTGGTCAATCAAATGTCACTGTGAAATCTGCCAGGAGAATATATGAAAACACATAGACACCCTGACTACTAGCAGCCTTATCTTTCATGAAACTGTCTAATCCCTAATTCTACCCAAGTTGAGAGCCATCAATACAGCTTGTGATAGCAAATTCTACAGTTTAACTCTGCACGGTGTGAAGAATTGGTTTTCACACATCCTTCCAATTTTTCTGCCCTTATGGTTTCTCAGATGTATTGGATATTTTAAGATTTTAATACTTCAAGACCTGTCAGGAAGAATACACCCACATAATAAACCCCACAAGAAGAAAGAAAATATTAATTTTCTTTTTTTTTTAGATTGCTCAATAGATTCAGTTTGATCCAGTTTTTTACAAAATGAAGTTTTAGAGGAGCCTTTCCCAACACTGTATCTCTGAGACATGCAACACATCTGTTAAACTTCAGTTAATCCTGTGAACTATGGCTTTAACATTATGGGAGCTGAAGTCCAGGGCTCACTGCATCTAGGGCTCATCCAGATTTTTGCAATCCTGATCTGATAGCCGTGATTCAACACATTTGCGAGAATACCATTTTGAGGAAGAATAGATTAGCATTGTTAACAAGGAACAATATTACATGCTTAAGTCACAAATAATAGATTGTCTATACTTTGTGGCTATTGTATATACTCCCAATTGTGGGAGTTCTTTTCTCATTTACTTTTTTCCCCTTCAAAAGTAAAGCATAATTGCATTAACCTATCAATATGTACCTTTCTCCAGCTACCAAATCTCTTCCTGATTTGGAAATTTATATCAAACTATTTAGCCTGATAGAAGCCTTCCAGGCAGAAATCTGGCCAGCTACCATATTCTGTTCTTTGTTAAAGCTGCCAATGCCTAGGCCCATCTGTATACAAAGCAGGTATTCTGGCACTGAGTTATGGTCCTTCCGTTCCATAGGAGGTTCAACACAAAATCATTGAATTATACTTGCATAGCTTGAGAATATTTGCTTATGTGCTACTTAATGATTGCTTTCTCCCTCCAATCTCAGATGCCAAACCCAGAGCAAAAGGGAAATGTCAGGGGGAAACCAGCTTAGAAAAAAAAGGAGTACATCCTACTCTTCAGTTTCCCAAAATCCCTTTCTACATCACAGCAGCTGAAAAAGGTATAGGAATCTGAATTTGCTATGGTAACGCAGAGGTCTGCCCCCAAGTGCAAAACTTATACGTGGAGACCCTTAACTCTGGTTCATCTAAGAAATGAATGATTGCGTACTTTTATTTAAATCCTTTTTTAAAACAGCCATAGCTGCCCACCGCTATTTAAACTATGCCAGATTCATTACCTTAATCTGTTATTGCACAGAAAGCTGACAAAGCTGACCAAATGTACAATCAGTAATGGAATGTGAGTCTCCTGAAGGATTTTGCTCAAGCTTGCCACTTCATGTGTCAAAAAATGGTAAGTGCCTTTCTTGTTGCTGATGCCTGACTATCTGAAGCTACACTGACAGCCCACGCTGTGAGAAGCAGTAGGCACAGACAGCTTTCCTCAGTTTTCAGTTGCTTGCAAGATTTATTTACTGCAGTGTTTCTATGTCACGTTCTGTCTTTCATACAGTATCCAAAACAGTTCACTGAAATCATCTACACAAAATATATAGACACCAGCAAATCATTTCCAAACTCCACACAGGACATTCTACTATCAAAGGAGTAGATATCCTGGGGGATCCTTCTCCGTATCTCGCAGAACTACAAATCCCACCCACATCAATAAAACCGCTGATTCTCTGCTTCTTCCAGTTCAACCAGGTAGTCCTCAACTTATAACCATTCCTTTAGCGACCATTCTAAATTACAATGGTACTAAAAAAAAAATACTTATGACCACTTTTCACACTTACAGCTGTTTCAACATCCCCATAGTCATGGGATCAAAATTTGGGCACTTGGCAACTGGCATCAATTTATGATAGTTGCAATGTCCCAGGGTCCAGCGATCCACATTTGTAACTTTCCCAGCTGGCTTCCAAAAAGCAAAATCAATGGGGGAAGCTAGACTCGCTTAACAACTGCATGATTCACTTAACAACTGCAATGATTCGCTTAACAACTGTGGCAAAAAAAACCCAACACGTTAAATGGGACACAAGTCACTTAACAGCTGTCTTGCTTAGCAATAGAAATTTTAGGCTGAATTGTGGTTGTCAGTTAAGGACTACCTGTAATTTGGCTCACATAAGAATAGTAGTACAGTGAGGGAATTTTAGATCCTGGTACTAAAGGATGCTGTGATAACTAATGTCATGGGACTGATTTCACATCCCATTTTTGATGTGTCATCTGGGCCTTTTTAGAAATTCAGATCTATTGACACATTTATATAAAAATAATTTAGCTGATTGGTCTCCTGGCCATTCCAATTTTGTTCAGTTCAAAATATAGTATGGAAAGAAAGAAAGTTTGTTTCTCTACTTGGATTGCATATTTTACCTGTTTGTATTCTCCAGAACTTCTACTTTCTTGCGAAGCTCACTGTTCTCAGTTGAGCAGGACTCAACCCTTGGAAATCAATGAAAATTAAAGGCTTAAAGATCTGCATTTGGTTAACCAACGATATGAGATCTACTCTCTGAACTGCCATTAAGAGTAAATAAGAATTTGCCATAAGATTTACATTACTGGCCTTTGATTTTATAACCAAGAATAGCTTGCACTGTAGACAAACCCTATGTTTAGGAAGGCTGGTGATTTATTTATTGAGAAATAAATGAAATAGTCTTCTTTCACCAGCACATTCTGCTCCAAGTTTTATTCTCAGCCTGGGTATATTAGATCAGAGGTCCCCAGCCTTTTGGGCACCAGGAACCGGTTCCGTGGAGAGAGGTTTTTCCACAGACGAGCTGCATGGTTTTGTGTGCTGCTTGCATCCTGCGGATGGGGCTTTGCTTGTTTATGTGGACCAGTTGCTGGCATGCCGGTACCAGACCACGGACTGAGGATTGGGGACCCCTGTATTAGACCATGGCTGTTATACTATTATTATTCCAATATCTTTATATATTTATTATGCATAGTCTGTTCCTTATGCCATTAACAGTCTGGTTTCCCCCCCCCTCTTAGTAGCCACTAGGGGGCATAGAAAGCATGTGTTCTTCAAAATTTTGGAGGCCATAGTGTTTCCTTTCAACACAGCAAGGCAACTTCTCAAGAGCTGGATCTCTTTAAATTGAATAAGGCCATTGGCCCATCTATCTTCCTCCCTTGAACAGCTTGCTTTCTAAAGAGAATTCTTGATCACAGAGATCGGATATTAAATCTGGACTTCCTGCAAATAAACATCTCTTACAATTGGGCTCTAAGCTTCCGTTTTGTCAATCTTCTTAGATGTTTGATCAAATGGAATCTTCTGCTCACCTCTTCTCCAGGCTGTCCATGTATTCTTTCTTTTTCCGCCTGCTTTCTTGGGCAGAAATCTAGAAGAGAAAATAGCAGTACCCTTCACAAAACCAGACCAAACCAAACCAACAGGGGGGGAAAACTATGGTTACTCAGTAACAGAAAACAAAAATCCTGTTAAACCATGTTCCCTTTGGAGGTTAATCTTAGGACAGATAGGCAGTTAAAATATTTTTAATTCAGCTGCAGGCAAACTTGGAGGCAGGGAACAGCAAGCACAGACACGGTTTACACCCACAGAAAGACAGCAAAGAAGTGAATGGCTGTTAAAAGAGTGAAAAATTCACAGAGGGACTAGAATCATCTTTCCTACTTGCTGGAAAGATTGAAAGATGGAAAAAAGTGGAACAGATTGTAGGAACAGATGTGTAAGAAACCAAATTACCTTGTTCTTGATCTTTCTACGGATTTTCTTCAGTGCTTTCTCTTCTGATTTAGTGAGGGGAAGTTTTGTAGGGATGGGATATCCTTCTGCTATCAAAGTTCTTTTCTCCTCCTCTGTTAAGATTAGGGGACCTGTGCCCTGCAGTTTCTTTGACAAGAGGGTGAGTTGGGGAAAAGGGAAAAGAAGGCACTGGTAAGCATGGGTAACACTGTCTTAAATATTAAATTTGTGATCACCAAACAAAATATTAGAATTAAATACCCAAGCAAGCAGGAAAGTCTATTCTCCAAAGCAGTACAGACTTGGTTTAAAAGAACCACTACCCAATTAATATTAATAGATTCAATTAATATAGTAGATTCAAAAAGTTACGTCTGCACTAAAATACTTGCTTTTTAAGTTTCTAGAAGTATTTATATTAAAAATGTTTTTTTTTAAATTAACATTCCAATTCATCAAGGCATTTCTTAATCAATTGGCATGTTTTTAATTATTTAGGCTGTTAGTCAGCTAAATATTGTAGTAAAACACTGGGGAGAGAGGATATGTGTATATTCATACAAACATAAATATCCATAATGGAAAGAGGCAGAGATATAGGATTAATTAATTGGGTGGCCAGCAGAACAATATTTGCATATTTTATATACAGGTAGTCCTCGACTTACGACTGTAATGGAGCCCAGAATTTCCACTGTAAGTCATGACAGTCATAGGTCCAGGCACCCACATGAACAACCCAGTTTTACAAAAAAAAAAAATTTGCAGAGGTTGTAAAGTGAACATGTTGGTTATAAAGCGAGTCCATTCATTCCTTTGGGAGTTTTTATTTTTTTGCTGGAAACTGGCTGGAAAGATTTGAAATCAGCAAAAAAGATAAATAGCAGATACATGACTACGGGATGCTACAACCAGCCAAAAAGTAAACCATTTGCCAAGTGCCCAGAATGAGATCATGTAACCGTGGGGACAGGGTGCCATTGTCAGAACTCTGAACCAGGTTGTGTCTTTTGAAGGATCCGTCCTAACTCTGACTGGTTGCTAAGTAACTGGCTATTAAGTGAGGAGTGCCTATAGACCAGTGGTTCTCAACCTTTTTAATGCCGCGACCCCCAACCGGTCGTAAGTCGAGGACTAAACCGGTCGTAAGTCGAGGACTAAACCGGTCGTAAGTCGAGGACTACCCAACCGGTCGTAAGTCGAGGACTTTCCCTGCCCGGGAGCACCGCGCATGCATGGTTCCGCCCCCTGCGCCGGCCGAGGCGTAGCTGGCAAGCGGCAGAGACGGAGCAGGCCGACCACCAGCTGGCCCAGCCCAAGGGAGGTAAGGCACCCGCCGGAAAAGGGGGAAAAAAATGGCGGACAGCCTTGCTTGGCGACCCCCGTGAAATGGTCGATCGACCCCAAATGGGGTCGCGACCCATAGGNTACCAACAGTAAAATTTGTCCCAGATTCCAAAATAATCTGTTTCCGTCTTGTCCTTTAATTCCATAGTTAGCCTGTCCATGTCCGCACATGATAAAAAATTTTGTAGAATCTCTTCTTCAGTAGGAATTTCTTTGTTTCTCCAATTTTGAGCATAGGTCAGTCTGGCGGCCGTAAAGATGTGTAACATTAGATAGAGTGATCCTTTGTCATATTTTTGTATAGTAATACCAAGAAGGAAGAGTTCTGGCATTTCTTAATCAATTGACATGTTTTTAATTATTTAGGCTGTTAGTCAGCTAAATATTGTAGTAAAACACTGGGGAGAGAGGATATGTGTATATTCATACAAACATAAATATCCATAATGGAAAGAGGCAGAGCTATAGGATTAATTAATTGGGTGGCCAGCAGAACAATATTTGCATATTTTTATATACAGGTAGTCCTCGACTTACAACAGTAATGGAGCCCGGAATTTCCACTGTAAGTCATGACAGTCATAGGTCCAGGCACCCACATGAACAACCCAGTTTTACAAAAAAAAATTTTGCAGAGGTCGTAAAGTGAACATGTTGGTTATAAAGCGAGTCCATTCATTCCTTTGGGAGTTTTTTTTTTTTTTGCTAGAAACTGGCTGGAAAGATTTGAAATCAGCAAAAAAGATAAATAGCAGATACATAACTATAGGATGCTACAACCAGCCAAAAAGTAAACCATTTGCCAAGTGCCCAAAATGAGATCATGTAACCGTGGGGACAGGGTGCCATTGTCAGAACTCTGAACCAGGTTGTGTCTTTTGAAGGATCCGTCCTAACTCTGACTGGTTGCTAAGTAACTGGCTATTAAGCGAGGAGTGCCTATAGACGAATGGGAATGGCTATGGATTAAATGCCTGGAGCATTCTAACTACACATTCTGAGGGCAGCCTTATGTTAGTGCATTCTTCAACCGAGCAATATCCAGATCCCTTTAATTACTGTTCTTCTTCAATATTCTGAAGTATAAAAAAAATAAGCATTCGCTAAATGGGACAAATAATAATTTCCATTACAAATGTTTTAATATCAATCAAAGTTCCTAAATAATTCAAACAAAATGCAATACTTAAAAGAAAAAGGCAGAGACCACTGTCTCTTACATGTGGTGCTGTTAAGAGAGGTGAATTGGTGAGGGCGGAAGCTGTGCGTGAAGTCACTTTAACAGTGGCCTGCAAGTGGGTGGGACTTGATGGTGGGAGGGACCGGGTTGGGCTTTGTCCACCCTCAGAATCACTGCCATGGCTGCTGGGGGGTGTTGGAGGCATGTGTAGAGTATCCACCACTGCAGGAGAAAAACAAGAGGAGGAAGAATAAACTAGAGAGTTTTGTTTTAAAATATTAGAAAAAGAATAGTCCTGGTTAGATACTATGACTCAAAAATCATGAGTTTAGGAATGCAAATTCTCTTCCACTTTATCTCACTCATGTGATTGAGTTTGAAAAATACATGTCTTGTATCAATAAACATGTTCTTTGAGGGATTTGCAAGCCTCAGAGTTCTGCTTTATTTGTCTGTGTCGATCAGAACCTTGACATTTGTTTTGTAAATCATAAACTTCCTGGATGCCCAAACTAGGAAAGTATGGGCTAAGGGTAGTTGATAGATGCCAATCAGGTTATCAATGCATACCCTAGCTTGTACATGAAATTTAAATCATGATTTCAAAGGCATCTGAAAGGATGAATAAATTAGTTACACCTGAACTAAAGATTATCTGTCCATCTGTCTATTTATCTACCTAACTTCCAGAAAAAGTCACTTCCATATTGTTGCCAAGAAAACCTCATGTTTTCAGTTATCAGGAGATGAACAGTCTTTTAAACTTTTCATTCATTCATTTATTCGTTTGTTCATTCATTTTCTCAAATTTATATAGTTGTCCATGTCTCAGAGAAGTGCTCTAGGCAGTATATCATAAAGTACTATTGCATAGCCAGAGAATCATTGTGAAAACTCAATTCCAATGAATTATCTATTGAATTACAATTGTAACTTGAAAAAGGAATCCTAACAACACTGTGAAAACCAGATTTCTGTGTCTGCATTTTTAGTAGTCAATAGAACATTCAGCCATAGACAAAAGAACCAATATTCTTAACTTCTAAGAAAAGCTTAACAAAAAAGAGCAGACCACCATAGGCCAATCATCCTTTCCCGATTTTAGCTTACTATCCTGGTTTGTTAGCTGATATTAAGGAAAAATTTCCTGGTTCAAATTAACAGTAAACTCTGGCTTAATGCAAACATGGATGAAGGAAGAGGAAAAAGGGGAGAACTGGAGGTTAAACATTTCTGTATGACTCTCATCTGCAACTCCAAGACTTCATAAACAAATGTCCATGTGCAGAGATCATGAAGACACAGAATTGCTAAGATAGCAGCCAGAACTATGCAATCGATGTCATCCCCTTATTTTATGTATGTTGTGACACAGGTTTAAAAAAGGGCAGTGCTTCAATCGGGTGGTTTAACCCCCTCTGTGTAGACACACTTGGATAAAAGAGATTGGAATTGTTAGTACCTGCCAAGGCCAACCGCTTAGAAAAAGGAGCACTGATAAAGCCTGAGCATCCTTTAGCAGTTTTCTCATTGTAACTGAGTGGCTCAGAGGAAGAGTATAGTATCTTACTCATTGCATTCTTCCTTTGGACAATGGCCATGAGCAGACAGAACACGTTTCTTGCCAGGGCACCCTAAAACCTTTAACTATCTCCTGCTCCTCTCCCCACCCTCCTTTTTTAGCTAAAACAACAATTTCCTTGGGGCACAGTTTTTCCGTGTGTCTACTGAATAATAATTCTAAACCACACAGATTCCTGATCAAAAGTAATGTTCTTTCTTGCCAATCATTGTACAGAAGAAACTCTATGCTACATAACAAACCTTCCTTGGATGAAAGGTTCAAAAATTGATCCACTTCATGCGGCTCCAGTTTAATCTCAGGAAGAACTTTGTGACTCTCTGATTTAGTCTGAAAAAAAAAAAGAAATTCAAAAAGAAACATTTTTAGAACCAGAGCAGATGGTTATCCCTTTTCTGCTTTATTAAATAACACGGAAGCATGTGTTGCACCACTTTCTTCATTAACTCTGGGTGGAGATCAGCTTTCTGATATCCTCCTTGTGTTGCAAGGTGCCATTGCAAGTATGTTTCATGCTCCAACTAGCCATTGGAACTGATGACTGGATCCATACATAGAATGGGGCATACTCCAGAATAATTGGGACCAGCAATTCTGTCATTAAGTGTTGCAGTCATTAAGTGGTAAATCACATGACCGCAAAAGATATATGACCTTATTTCGCCTTCAGTTGTTAAGCAAAACATCATGTGACTGGGACGTACAATTTTACTTCTGCCATCTCTATTAACTCTGCCTCAAATTAAGTAAGGCACTATGTTTCTCATTGTCTAGGGATATTATCCATTTGGCTAATCAAGTTTTTAAGTACCAGAAACCATACTGTGCCATCATCCTGCAGCGGTGGCTCTTCCCCCTCCAGGATGGTGGGGCTGGGCGAAGCAGTAAGACTGCCTGACGGAGCAAGGCCGGATGTTTCAGTCACTGCTGGTTCTGTCTTTATGTTGGCTGATGTCAGCTCTGATCCCAGGCACCAGTCTTCATTTTCCAAGTCAGCTGGGGGAATGAGAAATGAAAACAAAGCACACATTAAGAGCCAGAAAGGGACAGATTTCCACAGAAATCAAAAGGAGAGGGAAGAAAAAACAAGAGAACGCAAATCCAAGCTAAGGAGAGAAGAGGAAACATGACCAAGAAAGCATTTAATTCATTAAGCAATGCTTTTTATCTCCTTTTTCGGGCTTTTACTTCAGAGAGAAATCTGGGGCTTTAAACTGCAGCCTCTACACAGCCCTGAGGTGAAGGTGAATTGGCTGAGGACCCAAAAAAAGGTAATTACTGAAAATTACCAAGAAAAAACTCCAACAAGACTAAACAAGCCATCAGACAAGCAGCCAGAGTTGTGTGTTAAAGCCAACCAAACCCTTGCTTAGTTCCCCATCTCTGCCACTGGGGTCATTCAGCTTCCCTTGAGCCCCTGAGATTTGAAAGAGAAAAGTTTTTTTTAAATGAAAGATTGTTCTGTTGTCTTAAAATTCTAGTCTCTTCCTCGGAACTCAGTGCGGTAGGAGAAGACAGTGGGGAATAAAATTCATGGAACTGTGAAAGCCTTGGTTGATTTATAAACTTTTTTATCTTTATTTTTAAAAACCCTAATGATAAACAAAATCATTGGCAAATAAAGCAATGTGGCCTTAAATGAAAAAAAAATGAAGCAAGAATAAATAGAAGTTTAGAAACAGCTGCAGAGTTTGTAATACAACTCAAGTTTTTCATAAAGGCCCCTTTAAAATATATAAATTTGCCGAAATAGACTAATTTGCTAAATAAGTACATAAATAATATTTGCTAAATAAATAAGAGAAGATATTCTACAATCGGGCTGCCACAAAAACATTTTTTTCATAATTTTCCTTCCCAAAATTTTTGATAGTAGCGAGTCTAAAGCTGAAGCTGAACCAAGCACATTCAGTGGGAATAAGGCCATTCTTGACATAGTCCAATCACGAACCATTGAGAGACTCCTTCCCCAGCCCCCATCTTTATCTTTCAAAAGCACTGAGACTCCAAATCCCTGAATTCCCTGCTGGCAGTCTGTGGACCAGCTAGGAAAAGCTAATTAGAGGGTTTAAAGCAAATGTTGGCGGCCAGTGGCTGCACCCTTTTTGGGCGGCACTCCTGAGCCCTCAAGATCAACTGCTGAATTTTCAGCAGTTATTTGATAATGACAGTGCATCTTAATATTGGTTTTCTCTGAACAAAAATAAGTAGAATAGGCTTAGGGCAGTGTTTCTCAACCTTGACAATTTTAAAGCATGAGGACTTCAACTCCCAGAATTCCACAGCCAGCAATGCTGGCTGTGGAATTCTGGGAGTTGAAGTCCACATGCCTTAAAATTGTCAAGGGTGAGAAACACTGGCTTAGGGCATTTTTTTGCTCCCTTAAAAAGAGACCTTCCCTTAGCATTTTTTTTAAAAAAAGAGACCTACCCTTAGCAATTGTTTTCTTTATTTAGAAAGACACAAGTTTTTTTTAGAAAAAGAGAGAGACCAGAAGGGTCAAACATTCCAGTTGTCCGCTGTAGATATATCACTGCATCATCGCCTTGTTTTCTGCCTCTGATTTTATTTTTATTTTAAAAATACATTTAGGAAAAGAGTAAAATGGGCTCAAAAGAGTCAAAATCAGCACCATAAAATTAGTGGAGAAGTGGCAAAGGAAACTGAACCAAATTGTTGAGAGATGGAGATCTTTTAAAATACTTTTTAAATTCTAATTACAGTGCTCCTTATCTCATTTTCAACAACAGCTAACTAGGTGCTTGTTGGAGGCCCCCCTATATCTTTCAAATCACCAGCAAGTTACACAGCATTCCCTGAAAAAGTAAAAACTCCTTTGTATTACAGATAGACCTTGACTTACAACCATTTATTTAACAACCATTTGAAGTTACAATAGCACTGAAAAAAGTGACTTATATCAGTCCTTGTACTTATGATTATCACAGCATACCCATGGTCACAGGATCAAAATTAGCCGGCATGTATTTACAATGGTCGCAATGTCATGTGACCATCATTTACAATCTTCCCAGCTGGCTTCCAACAAGCAAAGTCAATGGGAGAAGCCAGATTCACTTAACAACTTCATGATTCACTTACCAACTGCAGTAATTTGCTTAACTGTATCAAATAAGGTTGTAAAATTGGTTGGGACTCAATTAATAACCGCCTTGCTTGGCAACAAAAATTCTAGTCCCAAATGTGTTTGTAAGTCCAGGACTACCTGTATTTGGGACGACAGCCACAGGAATCTTAGGCCTCTATGACTTTCTCTGTGTATATCATTTCAGACCCATGTCATGACTGCTTGCTGCTATCCTCTTCAAGAATGCCTCTTTGGTAAAATGATACAGAGCTGATAGATGGAGTCACCCTTCTTAAAGAGAGGAGATATTTATTGCCACAGAATGCAATTACCAAGAGATCTGTCGACAACAGGAGACGAAAAAACTAAGGTTGAGAGAAAAAGCTCCTGCAGCCTTCTATTTCTGCAGCCTTCAATTCAGGAACAGGAAGGTGGTAGGGGGACTTTGTACATTTGATGCTAGTAATTACTCTATGGTGTAATTTTAAAACGTCTCCCACTGGCAAGGGAAGATGTAATTTGAATTACGTTGGCCAAGCCAAGAAAAATTACAAGCAAAAATAAATATGTATACATCCTGTAATCAGACACTTCAAAACAGTAATCTAAACTGTGCCAAGAAGGATCAACATATATAAAAAAACCTGCATTAAGGAAGAAAAAAAAAACCTCACAGGACATGCATAAGCGATTCTCGACACATTAAAAATGTACACAATTTATCTCAAAACAGACATTTCTTAGAAAAGGCCTATTATTCTATAAACATCTGGCATTAGAAACAGAAATTATCCCTCATAAATACAGCCCACAGGCAGATTCTACTCACAGGTTACTCACAGTAAAAGCACACATAATCTCCCTTTTAGTGCTTCTGTAATACTAACTCACTGCTCTGTCCTACCAGGTGAGAGACTGGTATTCATGTGTGGAAATAATTTCCTTTAAGAGTTGCCCAGAGTCAGGGGTTTTGTCTGCTCCCTCACCTCCTTCCTTTTGCTCTAGTTCCACAGATACTGAAGGGCACGCTTTGCTCCCAACAAAGAAGCTTCTGTGCAACGGTCAAACACTAGAATCTTTTTCCGACAGGCGGAGTGGAATGATTACATGGAAAGGAGGTGGGTGGGAATGAGGAGAAACAGGAGAGAAACTAAAGGATTATATGTGCAAGAAAAATTTTGAAGAGCTTTTTGTTTAGCAGGGCGGTCACCAGTTTCAGTGATCCAAGGTTCAGACTGTATTAAGAGTCCAGCTTTGATAGGAATTTGTTTTCCACAGAAGGTCCTGGTTCTCAAAGGACCGAGTGAAGAGTTTCCAAACATATGTAGAAGGCCTGTCTCTCTTTAACATTGTGTTTGTTGTAGCCAAAGGCCTACATTCCAAGGAAATTACTTCTCACTTTAGAATCTAGCCATTGGGAGAAGTTTTATATCCAAATGTATTTTATTCTTTATACCGTTTCCATCTTCCCTTTAAATATTAACAGGATCCACAAATGGTCTGAGAATCAATGTCTCCACTAGATAATTGATAGTCAAGTTAAAATTAAGTTAATCAACTAAAATTAGCAAAATTCCTCAAACCCCCTCCAAAATAAGTTACCCAGACCTAATCCACATATCAAAGGATAAGGTCTGCAAATACAAATAGAGTTAATTAAATTAGGTCTCCCAATGGAATTGCATGTTCACAAGAATACACACATACATATACACACACATGCCCCTCAAGTATCTCCCTAGAATCAGCATGTATACATTTCCACACCCTGGACAAGTTCCCCCTATACAAATCTGCTGCTATAACTCCATTTCTCTACAGCCTGCCCCTAAAGGGAAATTGTTTTGCTTCTAGGAATAAATATTTCTTCTTTCCTCACAGCTGTCTAGGTCTCATTTTTATTTATTCTTGAGCAGCCCTGACACTATTGAGCTTAACTGGATTTTAATGCTATGCTACCTTGTATAAACACACAGCTTTCTTTCTTTTTTACTTGCAACCACACATAGTTCTTGACTTACAACCGTTCGTTTAGTGACACTCAAAGTTACAAGGGCACTGGAAAAAGTGACTTATGATCAGTTCTCTCATATGGTCCAAATTCGGGCACTTGGCAACCACAAACTCTTTATGACAGTTGCAGCATCCTGCAGTCATGTGATCACAATTTGCAACCTTCCCAGACAGACAAGCAAAGTCAATGGAGAAAGCTGGATTTGCCTAATGAACAATGATTCACTTAACAACCCTGGCAAAAAAAGGTCATAAAATTGGGCACAATTCACTCAGCAGCTCTCTTGTTTAATAACAGAAATTCTGCTTCCAATTGTGATTGTAAGTGGAGGGTAACCATATCTGATTTCTTTGCTATGAGACAGATCTTGGCTATATATAGGTTGTATCAAATATCTGAAAGCCTTTTGGCTTAGGATGCACTCTTTTCAAGGAGCAAAGTTTCCACTGAAAAGAAAGAAATATTAACAGGCTCAGCATGCCTGTCCCTTGAAACTGCATCCCTGCCTTTTCATATCACTGTTTTACTCCTATAGCCCTCACTTCCCCAAAAGACCCCTAAAAAGTGAAGCTCCCAGATATACAAGTAGTTCTGAGCCCAAAATGTATGTTGCTAAGTGAGACATTTTTAGGTGAGTTTTGCCTCACTTTACGAACTTTTTCACCACAGTTGTTAAGTGAATGATGGCAGTAACATAGTTGTTAAGTGAATCTGGCTTCTCCATTGACTTTGCTTGCCTGAAAATGACAAAAGGGGATCACATGATCCTGGGACACTGCAAACGTCATATAATATGAGTCAGTTGCTAATATGAGTCAGTTGAATTTGACCATGGGGATGCTGCAATGGTCGTAAGTGTGAAAAACGGTCACAAGTCATTTTTTTCAGCGCCATTGAAACTTCCAACATTCACTAAATAAACTATTGTAAGTCGAGTTCATAAGTTTCCTGCCCTTGCTGTAAGGTTCTCCTTCACAGGTTGCAAAAAACAATTGTCTTTGGGGGGGGGATAATAAACAGGATTCACATGTCACCCCATCTTTCTCACCACCTTGTCACACCTACATAAAACTAGTTGATAGTTACTGATTCTGTTTAGTCAAAATAAGAAGCTGAACGTATAGCTTTACATCCCTTGTGGGTTAGGGAAAGAGTAAAAAAAGTAAGGCCACACTTTTTATGTAGGGGTTCAGCACTGGCTTTGTTGAGACACACAAACACACACAGAGACACACACACACAAAGACTCTTTTCAAGTAGCTGGGTTCCTATAATTTACCATACTCATACTTTACTAAGTGGTTTTCAAAACTTGCATCGACCAGGGCTAGTCCTAACAATGAAGCTGGGAAGAGAAGGGGAAGATGGTTTTGGGCTTAGTGTCTAACTAGTCTCAATTCCCAGGTAGCAGATAGAGGGTTGACCTGCACAATGGTGATGACTACAGGCAGTCCTCGACTTACAACAGTTCATTTAGTGACCATTTCAAGTTACCACGGCACTGAATAAAGTGACTTATGACCATTTTACAGTTACAACCTTTGCAGCATTCCCCATGATCACATGATTAAAATTCAGACGCTTGGCCACTGGCTCATATTTATGATGGTTGCCGTATCCCGGGGTCATGTGATCCCCTTTTGCGAACCTCTGACAAGCAAAGTCAAATGGGAAGCCAGATTCACTCAGCTGTGTCACTAACTTAACGACTTCAATGATTCACTTAACAACTGTGGCAAGAAAAAGGGGGCAAAACTTTCTTAACAAATGTCTCACTTAATAGAAATTTTGCGCTCAATTGTGGTTGTAAGTAGAGGACTACCTGTACAGTACTTTAAAAATCTTTTATTACTGGTAGATGCAAGTTACTCAGAGCTCTCAGGAATCTAATGGTACATAAACAAAAAAACCAGCCATACTAAACCAACAAAAAACAGTCGTAGTAAATAAACAAAAAACATAAAATAGCAATTTAGGAACTACCTTTTACTGCGTTTTTAAAAAGTGAGATTAACAAATACAAGATTAAACTATATGCAACAAAATATCATAGACTAAACAAGTTTCAAATGCAGAGCTTGAGATAAGCAAGATATATCTGCCTGGTAGCTAGTATTTATTGTTTTGATGGGTTTGTGTAAAAATAAAAGGGTTGTAAATTGTTTAATAATAAACTTAACATGGTATTAAGTGATAAAAAAAATTTTTTTATACAAATAACCTAAGATCCTTTCTATCGAAATCCCACAATGTATTTATGTATATAACTCGGTTTAATCTTAAAGCGTTTAACCGTTAGTGGTGAACTCCCCTTTTTGTACGTGACACTATAAGACAAATCTCATTTCTACGGTAATTTAATAAAATCTCAGGAGTGCTTTTTATAACAAAAGCAATTCATATGAAATATGGGGTTCCCTTCAAATATTCAAATAAACCTTAGCAAAGTAAAGTTTCCAGGGTAACTTGAAACTGGTATAGCCTTAAATGAATTCTAGTAACGCTGATATAATATATCCAGGATGCAGATTTCCGGGTCTGACAAAAATATATTTCATGGGGATTCTTTTCTTAAACACATTACCACAGAATGATGCAATAGCCAGTAATTTACTTTCTGACTAATTCCTTGGTTTCAAATTCCAGTTTATGCTATCCGGAATGAATTACATCTGGGTGACATACTTAACTTTAGAAAAACTTCAGATCTTGGTTAAAGAACTGTTTGGAATAAGGGTAAGATGGCATCACAAACATTCACTTTAATATTGTTTTAATTTGTCACTCAAGCTCACTGTAAGGAAATGTCCTTGTAAAGAAAGCAAATTAATATAGAGAAAGAATGTGACTGATTCCAGTTATCATATCTCAAGGATGCTTAAAAAGATTCTTTAATTCATGGAAATAAGTTTCTTAAATATGATATACAGGAGGTCCTTGACATACGACCACAATTAAGTCCAAAATTTCTGATAGCAGGACAGTTGTTTTGCCCCATTTTACAAACTTTCTTGTCACACTTAAGTGAAGCACTGCAGTTATTAATTTAATAATGTGGTTGTAATGTGAATCTGACTTCCCCATTGATTTTGCTTATCAGAAAGTCACAAAAGGTGATCACATGATCCTGGGACACTGCAACTGTCATAAATATGAGCCAGTTGCCAAGTGCTTGAATTTTGACCATACGACCATGAGGATGATGCAATGGTCATAAGTGTGGAAAATGGTCATAAGTTATTTTTTTCAGAGTCGTTGTAGCTCTGAAGGGTCACTAAATGAAAGGCTGTTGAGGACTGCTTGTATAAATATGAGTGTCTGTACATGTACATATTCATATGAATGTAACAGTACTTGTGAATGCTATATGTATGATTATCTTTATCTGATTTTCCACAAGTAGTATATGACTTCAGAGACCATACTTTCTTGTGAAAAAAATAAAAGACAACCCTGAAAATGGGGCAAATCTGAAAAAAGTTCATAAGGAATTTGTATACAAATAATAAAACGACTTAATAAATTTATTAATCTAATTTATTTAGATTTTCCATCGACAGACTTTATTTTCCCGACAGGAGGTAGTATTTTCTGTACACTATTGACATCTACACTGAGTTCTTAGTCCGCAGGTCAGACGTTAACATAATTATATGAAGACGAAACCTTCACAGTTCTTTACCATATATTTTGCAAGCAAAAGCAAAACAAGTATCCTGTGACAGTGATCTTGGCAACTTTCCCTTGTCAAAACTCCCCATCTGGTTTAAAGCTTGACTTGGACTGCTTACACACATCAAGAAACTTGCTATCAAAAAACAACTAGACTCCACTGTCATATGAATTAAGATTCTGTTTCCAATAACTATTTTCTTTTAAAGGGGAAACCTTGGTATGTGGGAGAAACCAAAACTGTATGAAGAAGAAAGAAAAAAAATATTGTTTTATTCCAGCTCTTATCCAATTCCATCTCAGCAGGCTTGATAAACAGGCATCAGCGCTTAGAACAGTAAAAAGATCATCAATGATTCACCAGACATATGAGTAACTCTAAGTCTTGGGCTCCCTAAGATCTTGGATATAGTTGTCTATTTTCAATAGAAAAAAATGTATTAATTAGAACTGATTGATAATGAGAGATACGTGCAGACACATCATCTTGGTAAACTCCTAGGTCCATCTGATTGTAATTTCTTTTTGGATTTTCAGTTTTGAAAAAAATGAAATGGAAGCTGTCATGCTGGAAAGCAAAGCAGTCTTGCATAACAAGAATGCTTTGGAGTTCTGCATAGCCTCCATAACATTTTTTACGAAATAAAAATAATATCTCAGTGCTTCATTCAAAGTATGCCCAATTGCCCAGAAAAATGTCAGAGGTCACCTGAGGTAATCGAAGTAGTAAGGAGCAACCTCTCCAGCTATCTCCATCAATGGGCGAGTTATAATCACCATGGCATCCATTTTGTGAATATATACTGCCTCCTCCCTATGAAAACTACTTTGTGAGAGCAATAAACAGATGCAGATGACACGGGGCCAGGAGAGTTGATTGCCTAGAACATGAGTATTTCAACGTTCAAGCGTGGATTTCCTTCCATAAAAATATATGACTTAATTCCCTTTCTACATTTAGGCCTTCACTCAAGGCCCTCTACACTTGCTGAGATTATGAATTCCTATATATTTTTTAAAAAAATCACTCTCACATATTTTTATTCATTCAAGAAAGAGAACATGTCATGAACTATTACTTGAAAATGGTAAGGATGATAACTGACACTACTTTTAGAAATGTGTGCATTGATTTGTTGGCGGGATGTTAAGCAAGATCCAATTAAATAAATGCAGCACAAATAGCCACAAGTAGAACAGTGGTCGGATAAAACAAATCTTCCACCTCTCTTTGCTGTCCAGAATCATTTTGGAATCAAGCAGGTTTCTAAAATAAATAAACAGGAGTCCCATTTTCTGCGGATACGATCACCAGAGGCTAATGGCAGTTTGTAATATTTGAGTTTATTTACAATAATACAGATTGAATATAGCTTCAGTTGTTTAAAATACTCAGACCTATTGTCCCACATATGGTCTCCAAAGAGGCTGCTAGTTACTAATAATATTGTTAGCCAGTAGAACGGTAACCATTTTTTTGTTTTTTGGTTAATTTTTTCCCCCCTGACAACAGCACCCTTTGGAAATGTCTGAAATTCTAAGATATTTACACTCTATTGCCTCTTTCAAGATTCTAGACAGGCTACACTTCAAGGCAACCAATAGTGAGAATCTTATTTCCAGAAATTGATTAGCAAAATTCATTACATTCTTTTACCTTCATTGAAATTGTCATCAGCTGAAATATGGGTCAATGGCGACTGGGGCCGAGAGTCCCCACAAAGGGAATAGCTATGTTCTGCCTGGATGAGGGGAGCTGGAGAAACTGGTGATAATTCCACTTCCATCATCTCATTTTTCTCAGACAGGAAGGGATCATTCAAGAGCTGCCCCAAAACATCCTGGGAAAAATCATCAAGGAGTTCTGTGAAGGGCTGTAAGAAAGGAAAAGAAGCATAGAAAGAATTTAATAAAAAACCTTAAGTCATACTTTACATTGGTTCCACCCAGTGATCAGTAACAAAACAATGAAAAAATAACAGAACCAGCATTAAGCTCTCAAAACCAGATCTTCCATCTGGGAGATTTTTCAGTTCCATATTCTCATAACTGTCATGAAATAGCTTCCATTTCATCATGCCCTTGTCCTCACCACGTGTTTAGGAATATAACAACTGTTGTGCAACATCAGATCTACAAAGGAAGTTCATGGGTTGGGAGACACTTTCTCTGCTTTTCATTATCAACCTCAAGCTCATAGTGTGAGCATAGGCCACTTTCAATTATAGGGCTCTTTTGAGTACTGTATACAGTACAACATCAATAAGAATGAAATCAACACCTCAAGGGAACTACAACAATATTCATTTTCCAATTTGAAACCATGATTTTTTATTTAGTATTCCAATAATTTTCTAGCCTGATCACACAAAAATATTTTCATATATTTCTAGCACATTAACTTAAAGCCACATAGGAGAAAATGGACTCATGGTAGCACATTCAGTGAGGTGCAAACAGTCCCTATATACATTCGTATTATGTGTTCATGTAGGTTATCATCATGATTCAAGCAGGATTTTTCCTTTTTTCAACACTATGGCTATACCAAATATGCCCTTCCCAATAATTTCATAGAAATTAAAGGGCCATTTAGCAGGAGGACGCAATGCTATAATTATGTTTTTCTCAATTCCATTCTCAATCTGCATACTGTGAACTCATAACTTGCAACAATTAAAAAAACATTTAACGCCAAAAATCATCATATCTTATGATAACTGAAAATATGTGTTCACAAGATGCTTTGTGAAGTACTTCACTTTATCAATTTATAGACAATTTATGGGAAGAGTCAAGTTCTAGTAGATCAGGGGAGAAAGAGAACCACCTCTCCACCCAGATTTTATAGCCGCTGTTTTGCTATACTACCATTCAATGTATTTTGTAGAAACTGGAGCCTGGATAGCTTTCAAATATATGCAGTTCCATAATCTTATAATCACATGCCAAAATCTTCAGTATTTTTTCAACTTTATGTTAGATTGGTTCACATGCACTAGTTTACACTTTCTCTGTACAGTACTTAACTTCTAAACACTTCACTTACATGTGTGCATATTTGCCTGCCTATGACTGCAATTATGTCCTAAAGGAATGCTTATTATTGAGAGTGCATGGCTGTAATTTTTTACAAGAGAATAATAATAATAATAATAATAATAATAACAACAACAACAACAACAAAAACAACTACTACAACAACTACTACAACAACAACAACAATAATAATAATAGTGGGGAGACTAGAAAGGAATTGCAAGGAAACAGACTTTGACAAAATATAAAGAAAAGTTCCCTAATAGCAAGAATTGTTCAATAATGAAGCAGCCATTTTCATTGGAGTTTGAAGCAAACAGCAGAAATGATTGTAAAAGAGGAATTCTCTAGAAACTACATGATCTCCAGATACTTTTAAAGTAACTATTAAGTTTGGTATAGTGTTGAAATACAAATATTGCTAAAGAAACTCAGGAAAACCCTGTGATAAACGCTAAAAGTATTATTTTAATTGCAACAACATGATGTAATTTTCAACACTGCCAAAAATCTCTGAGAGAAATGAAAAAGAATGAATAAGCATATGTCACCCAACTAAGGGATGCACAGCCCTGTATGATTTGTTGTCAAAGCACATATATTTTCAGAGGCACTGTGTATTTCAAGACTTATATTCTCTAAGCATGGGAAGATGGACATTTCCATCTTCAGCTGTAGGTAAAAAACATGTTTTTGCAGTATTTTCTGGACTGAGTGTTCCATAAAGAAAACATATTTGTCACAATAGCCTAGAGTAGCTTACTTTATGTGAAAACAAGGCACAAATGGCAGTTTCCTCCACTCTGTTGTGTGCCTGATACTCATAAAAACCATTAAGACAGTCTACAGTAGCAACATTTTTATGCTGATAACAAACTCATTGGTAATTGTGCATATTTGTTCCAAGGTAGTTACTGTCTAATGATTTCTAAACCTCTAAACCTAGCTGTGCTCCATGCTGCTTTTTTAAATGGAAAGAGGATTTATCAACTTCTCAGGGCACTCAACTATAATTTATGCTGCTTACTCTCTGAACCAAACTAAAGTTAAATTCATCTTTGGGTGATATAATTTTCTTGATAACAATACAGAGCTTGTTTGTCATTGCCTTCCCCTGGGGAGGTGGCATAACAATTAAATGAAAGTGCAACCAGGAAAAAGCATTTTGTGAGAAAACTACTATACATGCAGTTATGAAAACTCACAAATTTGTAATAAGGAGTAAAAAAACAAGTGTGTGCAGCATAGAATGCAAAATAAATAATCAAATACACCTTGTGCATGACAACTGAAATGGGTCTTAGGATCTGTCCATAATCCATCCATCCATCCCTGACACACATAGACATACACCACACAGACATACACAAACACAAACACACACATACACACACACACAAAACACCAAGCCTCTCAAATTCACAAGAGGACAGTAGTAAGCACTGATATCCTTGTCGCATTGTGGTATGGAGAAGCATGTCAATAATGGCAGAATAATTGTTGCATATAGATGAGCAGAGATTAACACCAAAATTAACATTAGACCAACTATCAAGAAACAAACAATACCCCAATCAAAGAACTGTCAAACAAGCTAATAGCAAACAATAAACCAAGTAACCACCACTCCTACCAACACTGACAGGGCAGCCACTGGTACATAAAATGAGAGCAAACCCTACTCCCTACTAGCACTGATGTTGCCTAATCTGGTTAATGAAATATCTGCAAGAAAACAACCAGTGTCAAGGAGCACCAAGGACCTCACATATAGAACCTTTACCCAACACCAGAAATTAAATACTTAAGACCCAATACTGGGTCATAGCTTAGTACGCTGTGTGAAAGAGGCCACTATGCCTTATTCAACAGATTATGATTAAATTTATGGTTTAGGTCCCTATTATTATGCTGCAACTCCTTCATCTAAATAATTATTGGCTGGGTTGTATATGGCTGGTGTTAAGAGTGAACATTTGATAACAGTGGAGATATTTCATCTGTCTATGAGGAACTTTCTTATTCTTAAATGCAGAAAAATGATTGTCAGGTTTATATTATTGTTGCTTAATAATACAGTGGAAACACTTTTCTCAGAGTTGCCCTAAACTTACCTTGTTTCTTTTCCTCTTTATTTTATTGTTCCTGAATATAGAGACTTAAAACATTTTCTTAAAATGCAGACACGTTAGTAAAGTCTGGATATTTCTATTCACTGCAATAAAACTATGCCAATTAGATGCCATAGAGAATTTGGGGAACAAAAGTTCACAATGGAACAATATAAATGCCAAATTAGGACACTCATAGCAGAAATAACAATAGAGAATTACATAAAATTAGCAATTGGAATAAACTTACAACAAGAGAGTAACTGAAAGTTTTGGTTGGATACTACTGGTAAGAGTTATCGAACAATAGGTACTGTAGCTTTCTCTGAAATCCCAGTTGTAGAGGGATGATACTAGATGAGTGTGCATGGCTTTAATCATAAGAATATCTGAGAATATTCATTAAAACAAGCACTATATTTTGGAATAGTCTATGTAATGAATTATGAACATATTTGCCATTGCATCCTATTCTGGAAAAATTAAAGTACACAGCTGTTGAAATATATTTTTAATTTTATATTTGTGTTTATCTGCTAAATTAGCAACGCTATTAACTACATTTGATTGGGGCCAGGCTAAAACTCTCAGCAATTAGGGGGCTTAAAAATGTAGTCATGTTTTTCCTGAAAGCTTGGATTTCTATTTTCTTCAAACTGGGAAATAAGCTTCCATTTGTAATTTCAAATCTTAGCTTTTTAGAAGGAACGGATTTTCCAAGTTAAAACATAATGGAAAATTGTGATTATTTAACACAGCAAATCTTAAATGGATTGTGCTGAGAAGAGAGAAAGAGGGAAATAGAATATAAAACATGAGTATAAAGTTCACATGTATTTTAAATTTATAGGCATATCCCAATGCTAGAAAGGAGGATACTCTAATCTTAAATTGTACTACCTTGCACATTTTAAATTAAGCTGTTTAAATTAAATTAAATTAAATTAAGCTGTCTAAATCCTCTTCTCTCCCCACTCCAACCCTGGGAATTATCAGCAAATGCCTTGGGAGAAGAGTCCCAGCAAGAGAAAACTGGAGAAGACCACCACCCCCAAAGCCATCTCAGCTGGATTTACTCTCTTCCCTTATTCCCCAGGGCTATTACCACCAAGCAATCCAGGGGAATAAATCCTAAAAATGTTATGTTTAAAATAATATGCATTATTTATTTTTAATTTAAATATTGCTTTGGGAAGATTTTCCAAATAACAAGCCAAATGAAAAACAGGCATCTCAGTGTTCTAACAGAAACGCCATTTAGCTAAATTTAGCTAAAATTAACCATGAAAATGCCCTTTAGTGTTTAACATCTGTGAAACCTTTTTAAAAACCAACACAAATGGGAAACCTCCTGTGGTAAAAACAGAATGAAAAGATATCGCTCACATAGCAATATGGAGATTAAATTCTCTTGGTTTGGAGTTCTGATGCCTAGCACACAAAGAAGTTCTGTCTAATTTTCATTAATATTCTACTGAAGTTCAATTTCAGAATCTAGAAATGTTGACATCCTGGAGTTATTTTTCAAGGCTGCACTTGGATTCCACAGCAGATAAAAAGCAACTTTGCATTCTGAGAAGAATAATAAAATTAGAATGTTTCTCCAAGTATTCCTTTCTACCATCTCTATATTCACTGGACAGATAAATGTCAAAAGATGTGACTTGTAAGAGTGATGCTGCTGCATATTCTGCTGACATGTTCACTGAAGAAATTGATGAT